AAAAAAAAAAGGAAGGAAGAGTGGTTACAAAACAACCAAAAAAACAACTAACAAAATGACAGTGGTGAGTCCTCACCTATCAACTGTAACACCAAATATAAATTGACTCATTGCTCTAATTAAAAGACAAAGCGTGACTAAATGAATAGAAGAACAGAACCCAACTATATGCTGTCTACAAGAAAGTCATTTATCTATAAAGACACGCAGACTGCAAGTGAAGGGGAGAAAAGGTTATTCCATGCAACTGGAAAACAGAAAAGAGCAAGAGTAGCTATACTTATGTGAGCTAAAATAAACTGCACATCAAACACTGTAAAAACAAAGTCACTGTATAATGATAACTGATATCTACAGAATTGTTCATCCAACTGATGCGAGATGCAAGTTATTCTCATCAGCACATGGAACAGTCTCCAGTACACGATCACATGTTTGGACACAAAACAAGTCTCAACAAATTCAAAAAAGTCAAAATCATATCAAATATCTTTTCTGACCACAATGGAATAAACTAAAAGTCACTAAAATGTAGAACTCTGGGAACTGTATAAATATATGAAAATTATATATGCTCCTGAATGAACAATGGGCCAATAGAGAAATTAGTAAGAAAATGTAGACATTTTTAAAACAAATGAACATGTAAACACAAAATATCAAAGTCTATAGAATAAGCAAAAGCAATACTTAGAGGGAAGTTTACAGCAATAAATGCCTATATTTAAATACACAGAAAATTTCAAATAAAGAACCTAACAATCCACCTCAAGGAACTAGAAAAGAAAAAACAATACCCAAAACTGATAGAAAAATCAGAGCAGAAATTAAAATGAGACTAAAAAAATACAAAAGGTCAATGAAACAAAAAGTTGGTTTTTTTAAAAAGATAAACATCAATAAATCTTTTGCTAGGCTAACAAAGGAAAAGAAAGAACCACATAAATAAAATAGAAATGAAAAAAGGCATTACAACTGAAGTCACAAAAATACAAAGGATCGTTAGAGACTATTATGAACAACTATAAGCCAAAATATTAGAAAATGTTTCAGGACATTGGTCTGGGCAAAGATGTTTTGGGTAAGAACTGAAAAGCACAGACAACAAAAGTAAAAATAGACACATGGGATTACATCAAACTAAAAAGCTTCTGCAGAGCAAAGGAAACAATTAACAGTAAGAGACAACCTACAGAATGAGAGAAAACACTTATAAACTATTCATCTAACAAGCAACTAATAACCAAAATACACAAGGCATTCAAGCAATTTAATGGCAAAAAACCCACAAATAATTATATTTTAAAATGGGCAAAAGATACGAACAAACATCTCTCAAAAGAAGACATACAAATGGCTAATTATATGGGAAATGCAAGTGAAAACTACAATGCCATATCATCTCACTCTAGTTAAAATAGCTATTATCAAAAATAGCAAATAACAGATGCTAGTGACTATGGAGAAAGGGGAATACTCATATACTGTTGGTGAGAATATAAATTAGCACAGCCACTATGGAAAACACTATGAAGTTTCCTCAAAATGAAACTACCATATGATAAAGCATATATATATATACACACATTCCCAACTGAAAATCCTAGCCAAAGCAATTAGGCAGAAGAAAGAAATAAAGGGGATCCAACTTTGAAAGGAATAAGTCACATTAACCTTGTTCGCAGATGACATAAACTTGTATTTAGAAAACCCTAAAGACTCCAGCAAGAAAACCCTAAAGATTCCAGCAAGAAACTGTCTAATTTTAATCACTACATTGAAGAGACACTTGTACTCCCATGTTTATTGCAGCCCTATTCAAAATAGCCAAAATATGGACTCAAACTAAGTGTCCAATAACAGATGAAAGAATAAAGAAAATGTGGTCTGTATACACACTGGAATACAATAAGCCATAAGAAAGAATAAAATCCTGTCATGTGCAGCATGGAACTGGAGGACGTTATTCTAGGTGAAATAAGCCAGACTGAGAAAGACAAATATTGCAAGTTCTCACTCATATGTGGAAGCTAAAATAAACTTACTCATGGAGGCAGAGAATACACTGGTGGTTGGTTACCAAAGGCTGGGAAGTGTGGGGCGGGGGTTGCTAAAAAGAGGTTAGTTAACGTGTACAAAACCACAGTTACATAGGAGGAGTAAGTTCTAGTTTTCAATAGTATAGTAGGGTGACTATAGTTAACAACACTATATTGTATCATTCAAAATAATAGAAGTTTAGAATATTTCCAACACAAACAAGTAAACATTTTTGAGGTGATAGGTATCCCAATTACCCTGATTTAATAATTACACATTGTATTTGTGTACCAAAATATCACATATACCCCATGAATATGTACAACTATTATTTATTAATAAAAAGTTTTGTGATACAATAAAAGCTTAGAGGGAAATTTACAGCATAGAATGTATATATTAGAAAAGAAGAAAGGTCTAAAATCAATTATCTAAGCTTCACCTTTAATAAACTATAAAAAGAGCAAACTAAATTCAAACTAAGCAGACGAAAATAATAAAAATTAGAACAGAAATCAGTGCAATTGAAAACAAAATCAACAAAACTGAAAGGTGGTTCTTTGAAAAAAATAAATAAAACCAGTGAAACTTTAGTTAGGTTAACAAAGAAAAATAAACAAAAGACTGAAATTACTAATTTCAAACGTTTTGAAAAATGGGTCCTCACTGTTGATCCTACGTACATTAAACCAATTATTAAAAAAACTGTGAACAACTCTATGCCCTTAAATCTGATAACATAGATTAAATGGACTAACTCTTAGAAGACACAATCCGCCAAAAGTCATACAAGAAGAAATACACAACCTGAATAGGCCTAAAAGAACCTGAATGAATAATTAATAACCTTCAAAAACAGAAAGAACCCGGCCCAAATAGACTCACCAGATAGGTGAATTCTAACAAACATTTAAGGAAGAAATTATATTAATTCTCCACAGTCTCTTCCAGAAAACAGGAATAAAGGGAAGCCAGTTTTACACAAACTTCACAACTAGGCAAAGACATTACAAGAAAAGGAAATGACTGACTAATATCTCTCATGAACATAAATGATAAATTCTCAAAAAATATTAGCAAAATGAATCCATGTATAACAAAAGTCATACACCATGACTGATTTGTAGATTCAATTTAAATTTATAGATTTATAGGTTCAATGTAATCCTAAACAAAATCCCAGAAATTTATTTTTTGGATACCAACAAACTGATTCAAAAGTGTACACATATATGAAAAGTCAAAAAACCGTAACAGCCAACTCAATACTGAAGAATAACAAAGTCAACAGGCTGCCACTATCCAATGTCAAGACTTCCTATAAAGCTACAGTAACCAAGACAGTGTGCTATTGGTGACAGAATAAACAAATAAATAAAGGAAACAGAAGAGAAGCAAAAATAGACTCATACTGTCGACTGCTCTCTGACAACAGAGCAAGAGTGAGGGAGAAAGGACAGTCTTTTCAACGAATAGTGCCAGAACAAGTGGCTAGCCATATGCCAAAAAATGACTCTAAATAGAAGGCAACTTAACACAATAACATTTATTTTAAAATGCACACTCACTGGTGAAAGACTAACAACTTGCACCCTAAAAACAGACAAAAAGCAGAATAGTCACTTTCATCACCACTATCCAACATTTATCCTGTAAGTTCTACCCATAGCAGTTAGACAAGAAAATGAAATAAAAGAAGACCACATTGTACAGAAGTAAGTAAAACTACATCTATTCAAAGATGACATGATCTGGTAGATAAAAAATCGCAAAGAATACACAAGAAACTAACAGAGCTAATAAACAAATTCAAAGTTGCAGGTTACAAGATCAATGCATAAAAATCAGTTGTGTTTCTATACACTAGCAATGGACAATCCAAAAAGGAAATGTAGGAAAAAATTCCACTTACAATAGTACCTAAAACAATAAAATGCCTAGAAATGAATCGAACTAAGGAGGTGAAAGATTTGCACACTGAAAATTATATGATGTTGCTGAAAGAAATTAAAGAAGATCTAGATAAATGAAAAGTCATTTCAAGCTCATGGATTGGAAGACTTAATATTGTTAAGATGTCAATACTACCCAAAGTAATTTACAAATTCAGCACAATCCCTATCAAAATTCAAGATCCTCTTTTGCAGAAATGGAAAGGTTTATCCTCAAATTATTATGGAATTTCAAGTTACCTTGAATAGCCAAAACAATATTGAAAAAGAACAGATTTGGAGGACTCATAATTCTCAATTTCAAAACTTACTACAAAATCAGAGTAATCAAAACTGTGCTACTGGCATAAGGATAATCATAAAGACAAAAGGAACAGACTTGAGAGTCCATAAATAAACCCATACATCTATGACCAATTTATTTTTGGCAAAGGTACTAAGAGCATTCAATTAGAAAATAGCCTCTTCAACAAATGGTGTGTAAACAACTAGATTTCCATTTCCACATACAAAAAGTAAAATTTCTTAGCCTCTCTGACCCTCTATTTCCTCATCTATAAAGGGAGAATAAAAATAGTACCCACATCATAAAAGTTAGCAAGTTAAATAAGATGATACATGTAAAAATATATCGACCCATAGTGCAATACTATACAGTAGTATATAATGCAAGTATATAGGAGGAAGGTAAGTGGGAGCAGACCACCCTGGTGCAGAAAGTATTTTATCTACTGCCACTGTTTAGAATTACTGGCACACGGTAATCAAATTTTGTTCAGTTTCAGAATTGTTTTAAATTCTCTGCAGATCATGCAGGCCTTTCCTGCCTTCACCAGGGCACCACAGCAAAAGACCATCTCCCACATTCACTCATTCATTATTAACTAAGTTTCTACTTGCTGTTAGACATAATGTATGGCGGAGACTCGGAAGGTAGGATTGGCATATAGTCACCATGTATTCTTAAATCAACTAAGGGTTATTAGAAAACAAAAATATTCACTTTACCTTTCTTGAATTTATGTATGGGGAGTTTCTTAAGTTGATCTTTACGAAGTCTGTTTCTTCTAGCTCTATGTCTGTCCTGGACAAATTTTGTGATCTATAAATAAAAAAGAAAAAATAAGAAAGATATGAAACACACAAATAGAAATGGCTATTAAAATAACAAATATCCTTTAAGTTTCTGGATAGCTGTTGCAAATCAATTCAATTTACCTGAATCCTAATTGCAATAATATTATTAGTTAAGGCATTAAATTACATAAGTGGTTAACTCATAAATTATCCTTTGGATTTTTTATTCATTGACCTTTTTTTTTTTTTGAGTTGGAGTCTCACTCTGTCGCCCAGACTGGAGTGCAGTGGCCGCTCCCGGCCACGGCAGCCTCGACCTGCTGGGTTCCAGTGATCCTTCCGCCTCAGCCTTCCGAGTAGCCGGAATTACAGGCATGTGCTACCATGCTCAGCTGATTTTTTGATTTATTGTAGAGATGAGGTCTCGCTGCCCAGGGGGGTCTCGAACCCGCGGGCTCAGGCAATCCACTCACTTCAGCCTCCCAAAGGCGCGGGATTACAGGCTGAGCCACCGAGCCTGGCTTTCATTGACCTTTTTTATCTTTAATTCACTGACAGAGACATTACGAATAACATGTAATTGTTTGTTTGGAAAAATACAAATGGTAGACTATAGATTATAAAGACTCCAAAGAGTTAAAAAAAAAAAAAATGAGAAGGTTGAGATTCCTATAAGTTACGAACTAATAAAATTCCAAACATACACCAATTTATCACTATATTTTTAGTTCTAGTAGCAAAAGGGACAGAACTAGTGTAGAACACCTCTACTACAAATATTCAGAAATTCAGGATAAAATATACAAAATATTTTAAATTATAAATTACTGTGTTTGCAAGAATAAAAGGGAAGTCCACAGGGCCAGAATCAAATACCAAAAATATTGTCCATTTGAAGAAAAGAAAATCTGACAAATTTCACAATGTCAAAATTAAGATCTTTTGTCCTCAGCAGGCATTGGTAAAAAATAAAAAACAAGGCACAGACTGGGATAAAATATTGCAGAATGCATACATAATAAGGGATTTGTATTCAGAATATAAAAATAATTCCCAAAACTCAGTAATAAGAAAACATATTTCCCAATAGAAAAAGAAGTGGACAAAATATTTGAAGACATTTCACTATACAAGATATATGAATGGCAAATAAGCACTTAAGAGATGCTCAAAGTCATTACTCAATAGGTAAACAAAAATTCAAATCACAAATTATTACTATACACGTATGTGAATGACTAAAATTTAAAAGACTGACTACTATACCAAGTGTTGGTATGGAAGTGAAGGAACTGGCACTCTCATACACCACTAGTGGGATTATAAAATGGTACAAACCACTTTGGAAAACAGTTAAGCAATTTCTTATAAATTTAAACACAAACTTATCATAAGACCCAATCATCTCACTCCTAGATATACTTACCCAATAAAAATGAAACCATATTTCCATACAAACACTTGCACACAAATGTTGATGTCAGCTTTATTTGTAATAGCCAAAAGCCAGAATCAGCCCAGGTATCAAGCAACAGGTAAATGGATAAACAAACTTTTCACATAATAAAATACACTTCAACAATAAAAAGGAATGAATAATCAATACTCTAAATAGCATATAAATCTCAAAATAATCTTGCTGAGAGAAAGAAGTCAGATATAAAAGAGTACATAGCCTATGACTCCATGTATATTTAAATAAAGTTGTAGAAAATGTAATCTATAATGACCAAAATCAAACTTATGTTTGCCTGCGTACAGAGTAGGGTGAAAGAGAAATCGGAAGGGGTGAGAGAAAAGAATTACCAAGTGTCATGAGGAAACTTTTGGGGGTGATCAATATTTCATTATCTTGATAGTAATGGTTGTGGTTTCATAGGTATATGCATACATATATATTATATATATAAAATACAGGTATGTACGCCCATGTCAAAACTTGCCAAACTGTAAAATTTAAATATGTATAATTTATTATATGCCAATCATACCACAACAAACTTTTTTAGAAGTTTAATAGTAACATGTTTTTGCTATTGTGAATAGTGCTGCAATAAATGTGCACATGCAGTTATCTTTTTTATAGAATGATTTGAGTTCCTCTGGGTACATTCCTAGTAGAGAAGGCTTGCTGGGTCATATGGAAGGTCAATTTCTAGTTCTTTTAGAAACAGCCACACTGTTATCCATAGAGGTTGAACTTGTTTGCATTCCTGCCAGCAGTGTAGAAGTGTTCCCTTTCTCTGCTTCCTCACCAGCATCTGTTGTTTGATTTATTAATGATGGTCATTTCTACTGGGGTTAGGTGGTATCTCAATATGGTTTTGATTTGTATTTCTCTGATGGCTAGTGAGGGTGAGCATAATAGCAAAAATTTGGAACCAACCATGCTGCCCATTGAAACTGGACTGGATAAAAAAAAAAATGTGGTACATATACATGATGGAATATTACGCAGCCATAAAGGACAGACATATGAACTTTGCAGAAACTTAGATGGATTTAGAGTCTATAATACTCAGTGATCTATCACAGAAACAAAGAACAGAGTACCACATGTTCTCACGCATAAGCAGACCTGAACATTTACCAGAATACTATAAGAAAGGGATTGGCAGTAGTGGGATACTGCCGGGGTTAGGGGGTGAGAGGGCCAGAACATCAATAAGAGTACCTGATCTCAAACCAGGCAGAGTGGGGAGCAAAAGGAGGCCCAAACTTTACCTGTACGATGTCCACTTGTATACCTAATCCTGAATTGTACCCCACATCTTTAAAATAAAATATAAAAAAGAAATCTATCCATAAAGACTGAAATTCAAAAATCCAAACATAATTTTAAATATTGAAATAATTAATATTTTAATAAATAATATTAAATAATAAATATTAAAAATAAAAAAGTTTAATAGTAACCACTAAAAGAATAGCAATAGCTTTCAAATCAGTAGGAGACAGAGTGAAAGTTAAAGTTAAGTAGTCCAAATTTACATAGAAGAAAAAATAACTAGCTGGGCATGGTGGCTCATGCCTATAATCCCAATACTTCAGGAGGCCCAGGTCGATAGATCACTTGAGCCTAGGAGTTCAACACTAGACTAGGGAAAATAGGGAGACCTCATCTCTACAAAACAATCAAAAAGATTAGCCAGTCCTCTACTGGGGTGAGGGGAGCTGAGGCAGAAGGATGGCCTGAGTCCAGGAAGTTGAGACTTTGGTGAGCCATGAATATGCCACGGTACTCCAGCCTGGGCAACAGAGTGACACTCCGACTCAAAACAAAATAAAATGAAACAAAAACCCAGAATTAATAAAAAAGAAAACAATAGATATTAATCCAAATACATGTATAGTAACAATAAATGTAAATGAATTAAATCCACCAATTTTTTAAAGGAATGTATCATACTGTGTACGAAAAAATTCCAACCATATGTATTTACAAGATATAAGATTAAAACTGAATGACACATTAGGATGAAAATACAAGTAAAAAATAATGGAACAGGCCTGGGTGCAGTGGCTTATGCCTATAAGCCCAGTGATTTAGGAAGCTGAGGTAGGAGGATCGCTTGAGTTCAAGACAGCCTAAGCTGGGCTTGGTGGCTCAGCCTGTAATCCTGCACTTTGGGAGGCTGAGGTGAGTGGATTGCTTGAGCTCGCAGGTTTGCGACCCGCCTGGGTAACTTGGAGAGACCTCATCTCTACAATAAATTTTTAAAAAATTAGCCGGGTGTGGTAGCGCATGCTTGTAGTTCCAGCTACTTTGGAAGGCTGAGGCGGAAGGATCGCTGGAGCCCAGGAGGTCAAGGTTGCAGTGGCCGGGAGCGGCCACTACACTCTAGTCTGGGCAACAGAGTGAGACTCCAACTCAAAAAAAAAAAAAAAAAGAACCTGGACAACATAGCAAAATCCTGTCTGTCCAAAATAAATTAGCTGGATGTGGAGACACATCCCTGTTGTCCTAGCTATTTGTCTTAGGACAGGAGTATCATTGAGCCCAAAGTTTGAGGTTACCGTGAGCTATGATCATGCCACTACATTCCAGCCTGGTGACAGAACAAGACTCTGTCTCTAAATAAAATAAAAAGTAAACTAAATTAATAAAATAAAGAGATAGACAAAGATCTAACATAAAAATACTAAGCAAAAAAACAAACTGGTATATTAAGTAAAATAGAATTTAAGGTAAAAAGTCTCTTTGGGAGAGAGTTGTGACAATACTAAAAGGATACTTCACCTAGAAAATAACAGTTATGGGAAAAATACACAAATTCATGAGCTCAGAAACTTATAATTTAAGCAAACAAAAAATTTAGAAGACTATAGACCTGTGCTGTCCAATATGATAGCTAGCAGGTACACGTGACTATTGAGCATGTGAAACATAGCTACTCTGAGTTGAGATGTACTGTAAGAATAAAATACACACCAGGTTACAGAGACTTAGTACAAAAAGAATGCAAAAATAATTTATATTAATTGAATCTTGAAATGTATTTTAGATTAGGCTAAATAAAATAGTATTAAAATTAATCTCACTTTTTTGACCTTTTAAGTTTGGCTACTAGAATATTTAAAATTACAATAAAATGTGGCTCACAATATTGTTCTACTGCTTAGCACTGCTTTAGAAAATAGAAAAAAATTCCAACCAAAATGCAAAAAATTGTGGTGATGGTTGCAAAATTCTGTAAATATACTCAAATTACTGAATTGTGCTCTGATGGGTCAATTTTATGTTATGTGAGTTATATCTCAATAAAGCTGTTAAAAATACTTTTTTAAAAGACTAGACAAAACAAATTCACAAGTTTGAACTAATGGACATATAACTTTGCACACCACAAATCTTTTCACCTATATAAAGAATGTGTACAAAATTTAACCACAAACTATGCCACAATACAGGTTTTTAAAAATAATCAGGCTGGGCTCAGTGGCTCAGCCTGTAATCCCAGCACTTTGGGAGGCCAAGGCGAGTGGATTACTGGAGCCCGCAGGTTCGAGACCTGCCTGGGCAAC